CTCCATGACCTTGGAGAGTCTCTGTTTCCCCATTTATTCAGGAAGCATGGTGAACTCTGCTTCTCGGAGTTATATGGGAATCCAGGGAGTGAGTGCACATCTAGAGCCAGGGTGGTAGGAGGCTCCTCCGGTGGGGAGTGTCTTTTCCTCTCTTTGGGGGGTTGGAAAAGGAGAAGGAAGGGGAGGACATCCACCTGAGTGAGGTGGGGAGGGCTCACCGCCCCAAGCTAGGGAAGAGTTGACTAGTAACTGTGTCACTTTCTACAGCTCATTCATTTAGCCACGTGAATGAAGCTTTGAGGGGGAGTCAAGGGTGGGACTAGGGTTAAAGAAAAGACTTAGTCTTTGAAGGCAAGGGGACTAAAAGCCTGGGCTGGAATCAGACATCCTGAGTTGGAGTCACGGCTCCTACCCTGACTAGCCGGGAAGGATCTGCGCAAGATCCCCTTTTGCAAAACAGGCAACGACAACCCTCCCTGCACGAGGCCGTGGAGGATTAAATGATCTCATGTAGGAATGGGTTTAGCGTTGTAGTTGGCACGCAGCTCGTGCTCCATAAATGGAAGTGTAAGAGTGTGGGTTATTAGGAAAAGGAATGAAGTCATATTGGTTTCTTTGACCTCATTTTCACCTCAGGAAAGGAGGCTTGAAACTCTGGGATGTCTCTTTACCTGAGTTTTGGCTCTAAAAAGGGTTTATCTGGGGTGATCTCTGGGTGAGGGTGAGCCATTCTGGAGGTGAGTGACAGAGTTTTGGAGGAATGAGGGGACAGTTCGGGGAGGCGGGAGGTTTGAAAGACCTTCCTCGGAGACTGGGAAGGGATGGTTTTATGGCCCTAAACGTGACAGGACCCTGGTGGGGAGGGGCTGCGTGATGTTCCTAGGGATGCTGGACCCTGGGGACCAGCGTTCTCAGCTGGGCAATGAGCTCAAGTGGCATGGAGTCTGGGGAGTGGTCCACATTTGGGAGGCCACGTGGGCCTGGGCAGAGAGCAAAACATACCCTTAGTCACCGATGAGGACTGCATTAAGAATCCCCAGACATCGCTCTGCCTTGGAGGTGGTACCAGATTAAAGTTTCCACCCCCAGAGGAGAGCTGCTTTAGAGGAATATGGAAATGTGAGATTTCTTAGACCTGACTGTGGGGGGCTGGGCTTCCTGTCCTTGTGGGTAGCTGCTAGATGGGGAAGGTGTAGCTGGGGGCCGCCTGCCAGGAGGCAGGCTCAGAGGTGGGAGGGAAGGAAGTCAAGCAGTGGGCTTTGAGGTGGTCCCACCCTGTATGCTGGGCCCTAGAGGGAAGGAGCAGACAGGCAAGTGTCTCAGAGTCCCACACAGAGCCCACTGGCTCACCACCATACCCCACTAGGGAGAGTGAGACCAACACTTTATGTCCAGCTGCTGACGGCGCTCTCGTCCACAGGCCCTGGTGCCACAACTACCCACCCAGCTAAAGACCTGGGCCATTCCCTCTGACGAAGGCAAGGCCGCCTACCCCCTCGTCACCCCAGAGCTAGATGATAGGAAACTAGGAGAGTGACTTCATAGCACAGTCTAGTGCAGGCAGCAGGAGCTGTCTCTCAGAGTCCTGGGGCCGGTCGCGGGGCCCCTCTGGCTCCACTTCCCCCAAAGCAATTAGGAAGGATGACCCTCTCTCCGCCCTCAGAACACAGCACAGAAGGGCAGTGCTGAAAGGCTGCAGAGATCGCTCCTCCAACCTCCTCCTCTTCGGAGCCGGCTCCAGGTCACACAGACGGAAAGCGGCTAAGCCCAGCCCCGCTTCCTGGTCAGGCTTGTGCTCATTCCTGTTCTGTAGTCTCTCGGGATGAAGCTGAGAGCCCAACAGGACCAAGATGAATTTCTCCTAGCTGACTCCAAGGTTTTTGTTTCATGGGACAGTGCCCATTTTGATATTCTGGGTCTCCTTTAGTTTGGGGGGTGCTCCTTTTATTGTGAAAAGACCTCAAACATGTCCAGGGGCCGGTACAGGCAACAGGTGGTCTACCTCCCTATATGGTTGTCTGATCAGGTGAAGGGCACGTCCTCACGGCAGCAGGTGACCTGGTTTGGGTAATGTAGCCAGCTAGTCCCATGGGCTGGTGTTGGACGAGGCAGCCCCAGGGAGGCCTGAAGCCCAGGAAGATGGCGGTCCCGACGTCCTGACGGGATCCTCACTGAGATCGGATGCTGCCATAAAGGGGACAAGGGGGCGCTAGGGACTTCCAGGGCAATGCCTGGACTCAGGCAGACACAAGACAGGCACCAGCTCCGAGGGCTGCCCTTTGCCAGGCCAGCACTTTCCTGATGGGGTTCCCAGTGCAGTACTAGCCACTGTAGGGAATACCTGGGAAAGAAAGTTTTCTTCCTTTTTCTGATGAACTTTGGGGTGACAGCATGGGAGAGAGGGTGAAAAGAGACACAGAGAGATGGAGAGAAATAGACATGCATATAGACAGAGAGAGAGAAAGAGAGAGAGAGGAGTCAGAGAAAAAGAGACAGAAACAGAATCAGAGAAAGACAAGAGTGAAGGCCCTGGGCTTCACTGGAGTCTTACCTGGAGGCCTGGAGGGTCTTTGACGGAAGAAACCATGATCCTCCAACCTTTGTGTGCCCTTCTCCTCAGCGCCGCTTAGCACAGGTGAATGGGAGCTCAACAGCCTAGGAGGATGGACTTATTAACGAGAGGGCTGAGAGCTGAAGTTGTCCACATAGTCCAAGGGGAAGCTGGGGGCAGACACTGCCATTGACAGTCGGGAAAACGTCTTGCTGTGTGCCAAACCCACACCCACAGATTTACAATATTAGCTCTTTTGAGCCTCACAGCAACCCGGTGAGGTCAGAACTGTTTTTCACCACCAAAATCCTTTGCTTGACAACTCACTGCCCTTTGGCCATACTGGCCTCTGTTCTGTGGCTGTATTGCTTCTCCTCACCTCAGGACATTTGCACATGCTCTGTCTCACCGCCCCCCCCCCAACCCACTGCATGGCCCAGGATGCTCTTCTACTGGCTCATTCGTACTCACCCTTCACTCAAGGGTCTCTTTCTCATGGCGACATTCGCTGATCTTCCTGACCGGGCCACACCCTCATTATGTGTATCCCATTCGCCTATGGACAGCACTGCCCTTGTTGCGGAGTACGGGCTCTAGGCACGCGGGCTTCAGTAGTTGTGGCTCATGGGCTCTAGAGCGCAGGCGCAGTAGCTGTGGCGCGTGGGCTTGCTCCGCGGCATGCGGGATCTTCCCGGACCAGGGGTCGAACCCGTGTCCCCTGCATCGGCAGGCGGGTTCCCAACCACTGCGCCACCAGGGAAGTCCCGAGAGGAACTGGAGGGAGCTGCAAGTGTGCACATTCTCTGAGGTACACAGGGTGTGTGGGAGCACTGTATGGTTTAGTTAGGGGGTCTGGGGAATTGTGGGAGATGGGGCTGGAATGAAAGATTGGGATAGGCCTTGGATGCCAGGAATGTGGACCCTGTCTTGGGGGTGAAAGTAAGTCAGCGACGGTCAGATAGGAAAGTCTACTCCGCTTCGTGCGTGGAGAAGGAGTTAGAAAGCCTGAAAGAAGCAGGGAGAACAGCCAGGAGCTGGTGGCAAAGGTCTGGGTGAGGGCAGAGTGGAGAGGGACTCAGGGGGCTGAACGAGCAGAGGCCAGTCTAACATTTCTCGGGTGCTTCTCATGCATCTCTTACTAGGAGATGGGCTGACTACTAATATCATCATTTTATAAAAGAGGGAGCAAAGGCATAGAGTAGTCAAGTAACTTACCAAAGTCAAACAGCTAGTGAGCTTTGAGCTGGGATTGAGCTCAGGTAGCCTGGCATCAGAGCCCGCTCTCTTCTTGCCTTGTCCACCGGAATATGCTCTGACTTTCTGCCAGGGACAGTGGCTTGTAAATTCCAGGAGGGTAGGATAAGTCACACATCTCAGTATCTTTCCCAGGGCTCAGTATGGGAAAGGTCAATTCCATACCCATTGCTGGGCCCTGCTGAGCCACTTGCCTTCCTGCTGCAAGGTCAGCTAGCGTTAGCAATGCTTTTATTCAGTCTACTCTCTCCCAATTCCTTCGTGTGAACTCTGCTGTTTTCAAGTATTGGGGGGCACGCTGCTTTGTAACTGTCTCAGCCTTTCTGCCATGCCACTCGTCTCTTCCATCAGATTGGAGACTCTGAGAGCAAAGACTGGGCTCCGCATCAGATTGGGGCTCCATGAGGCCAGGGGCCAGGCTTTCTACCCACACAGGCAGCTCCCCCATCCTCTGGAACAACTCCTTGGTGGCCTGGTCCCAGCTCACTCACAATGGGCACCGAGTGGGTGCGGGGAGGGGTGCGGACCATATTGATCCTCAGTGGGGGAGGTGACTCTGTTCCTGGGAGTTTCTATCCCAGAGGGGCTAAGTCTCAGATCTGCCGTCGGGCCAGCGGAGACCAAACTCTAGGATCTAGGTCACCCCCTGGTGGCGGAGCTGATTTACGGTGCCCATGACAGCCTAATATCCTCACGTTACCCCACACAGTGGAGAGAGGCTGGGCCGCCTCCGGGCAGTCAGCAAAGGATGCTGAGCCTGGGGCGGCTTGGGGCAGTCCGGCCACCTCCTGGATCTCAGACCTCCTTTGGAGTCTGTCTGGGGGAGAATGGAGCAGATAGCGGGCACAGCCAGGCGTACCACCATCACGGAGGGTATAAGTAGGCAGCTTCGGGGACTGCTCTGCATCCTGGCTCCAGGGCTGGCGGCACTCCTACAACTGCTTTCATCCACAAGCTGCGGGCAGTGCCGTGAGTTGCAGACAGTTCTCATCGTCCTGCTGGAGCCGGGTCGGGGAGGCACGAGGTCCTCCTTTAGCCGCTTCAGCTCCTCTGGGGCTGGTGGAGGAGGGGGCCGATTCAGCTCTACCAGTAGCTATGGTGTGGGGAGCTCTGGGGCCTGTGGGAGGGGAGGTGACGGCAGTTCTGGCTCCAGTTATGGCAGAGGATCTGGGCGTGGTTTCAGTGTTGGGAGTTTTGGTAGAGGCTTTGGTGGAGGTTCCAGGGGCTGTGGGGAGTGGCTTTGGCGGTGGTGCTGAAGGCGGAGATGGGGGCCTCTTGTTTGCTGATGAGAAGACCGCCGTGCAGGAACTTAATAGCCGGCTGGCCCCCTACTTGCCTAAGGTGCAGACACTAGAGGAGGCCAATGCCGACCTTTAGAGTAAGATCTGGGACTGGTACAACAGGCAGGGGCCCGTCCAAAAGGATTACGCTTGTTATTATGACCCCATCCGGGATCTCAAGAACCAGGTAAGCCCGGGAAACTCGGATCTCTGTCTCCCCATCTCTCTCTCTCTCACACGTGTACACACACGCTCACACACTCACTCACATGCTTTATCTCCCCCCAGAAGGCAAGATGCTGGACTCTAAGCTTAGACAGTAGCTGGAGAATCTATCCCTTGGAAACTTTAACTTAAAAATGTTATTTTTTTAAATTGAAGTATACTTCTTTACAGTGTTGTGTTAATTACTGCTGTAAAGCAAAGTGATTTAGTTATACATACATATGTACATTCTTTTTATTTATTTATTTATTTAATTTTTTGCGGTGCGCGGGCCTCTCACTGCTGTGGCCTCTCCCGTTGCGGAGCACAGGCTCCGGACGCGCAGGCTCAGCGGCCATGGCTCACGGGCCCAGCCGCTCCGCGGCATGTGGGATCTTCCTGGACCGGGGCACGAACCCGTGTCCCCTGCATCGACAGGCGGACTCTCAACCACTGCGCCACCAGGGGAGCCCAGTACATTCTTTTTAAAAATATTCTTTTCCATTATGGTTTATCATAGGATATATAGTTCTCTGTGTTATACAATAGGACCTGTTGTTTATCCATTCTCTATATAACAGCTGACATCTGCTCACCCCAACCTCCCAGTCCATCCCTCCCCCAACCCCCTCCCCCTTGGTGACCACGAGTCTGTTTTCCACGTCTGTGAGTCTGTTTCTGTTTCATAGATAGGTTCATTTGTGTTATATTTTAGATTCCATGGAAACTTTAACTTTTATCAGAAACAACTCTTGGCCTGGCCTAGGTGGGGAATGCAGAGGCAGCGTGGAGGGAGCATAGCAATGGGGCAACCCGGTCCTGAGTCTGACACCAATTCACTATGTGATGTTGGGAAGCCCGATGCCATGTCTGGGCCTATTCTCCTAGCCTTTTTTTTTTCTTTGTGGTACATGGGCCTCTCACTGTTGTGGCCTCTCCATTTGCAGAGCACAGGCTCTGGACGTGCAGGCTCAGTGGCCATGGCTCACGGGCCCAGCCGCTCTGCGGCATGTGGGATCTTCCCGGACCGGGGCACGAACCCATGTCCCCTGCATCGGCAGGCGGACTCTCAACCACTGCGCCACCAGGGAAGCCTGATCATTATTTTTGACAGAGCCTTAGGTAAGGCTAGGATACACATGGCTTAAGTCTCAAAAGCATAGGAGATGAGTTGGAAATGGTGTATTATCTAGTCTATTTCTCCCCACACCCTACGAGGTGGGTATTGTTATTATCCCCATTTTAGAGATAAGGAAAAAGAGGTTCAGAGAAGATAGGTAACTTACTTGAGGTCATACAACTCATAAATGAGAGATCAGCTCTGTGGGGCCCCATAGCCAGTGCTTTTAATCATCATGAGGATGGGGCACCTGGGTCAGCCACGGTTCAGGTAGAAAAGAGGCTCAGGGGTTGTAGTCAGTGGTTGGCTTGGACAAGCCAGTTATACGATAAAACTGCCAAAAGGAGCACATATTAAAAATAAAGTCTAAATGCAGGAAAGAGTCCCACAGGTGAAGTGGTCTCTAGGTCAGAGAGAGTTTCCCTTGTGCATGTTGAATCTTGCAAAATAAAAATTTACTATGAAGTTGTAGCGAAAGGCTGGGTAACATGATTGGGAATGTTTGGCTCAGAGAAGCCTTGAGGTGCCTGGGAGCTGCTCTTCTCTAGAGAGTCTGGTGTGGTTTTGTGTGTCGGGTGGCACTGCAGGGTCATGGATGTGCATCTATGGGCAGAGGCTGAGGCCATCTTTGCCTCAACATGCAAGGGATTTACTAACAAAGACTGTTTCATGGAGGAGGGGGCTGCCTCATGAGCCTCCATCCTCAGATATGGGAGAGCACCTGCCAGCTGCTGCAGGAGATCTTCAGGAATTGGATGGGGGCCACTAGGGCCCAAGGGTCCTTCCATCTCAGGATTCTCCAGCTCTTTGAGCTCTAGCCTCCTTGCTCCCAGTTGCCCATCTTCCTGCCAGTTGCCCATCTTCCTCCAAGTCTTTCTGTCTCTTGCTCTAAGTCCTCTCTTTTCACTCTCTCCACAGGCTACCAGCTGCGATACTAGAGCCCCTGTAAACTTTCCCAGCCCCGCCTCAGCTGAGCATCCCCCAGGCAGGCAGACCTGGATGCAGCCTGACATTGGGAATAGCTAGTAACAAGCCTCCAGGCCCATTTGGAACTGGGCTGACTGGGCATGTCTTTCCTCTGGCTGCCCATTGGCTCCCTCCTCTGAGAGGGTTGGGGAGACCTCTCTCCCTCTGTCTGGTCTGGGGGTGACCCACTCCCTGTCTTATCTCGACTTCCCAATAAAGCTTTCTTACTGCACATCAAACTTGGACTTTGACCCATTTGTTCTTTGGGATTGAGGTGGGGCAGAAAGGAGGTGAAGAGAAAATCAGCTGAGTCCACTCTAAGAGTGTTGGTTAGCTTTTCTATCAGTTAACTTTTGCCTGTAACAAAGCAACCCACAATTTAGTGGCTTAAAATCACAACCATTTATTTACCTTGTGCTTTTGCAGTTGACAGCTTGGACTGGGCAGTTCTGTTTACCTTTAAGCATCTGTGGTCAGCTCCAAGTCAGCTGCGTAGCTCTGCATCAGGGGCTAGGCTGCATACGGGTTAGGGATGAAAGGACCACATGACTCTCATCCTCCAGCCAGCTGGCTCAAGCAAGTCTGGATAATGAACGGAGGCGTGTAAGGTCTCTTACCTACAGAGGGAAACAAGACAAAAATGAGGTGGGTTTTCCTTTGGAAGATTTCACGGATGGTGAAACATACAGGCACAAATAAAGTGCTCCAAGGCAAAGCGAGGAACATTCTCACAAGACAGCGCCTGACAGTGTTCTCCAAGGATTCTGACTAGAGACAGATTCAGACAGAGCCCTCAGCCTGTGTTCCAGATGCTACAGCTGTGTATCAAACCTCCCCAAAGCTTAGAGGCTTAAAAGAACAATGTTGATTTGGGGGCTTGGTGGGAACAGCCCGCTTCTGCCCTACTTGGTGTCACCGTGGCTCACAGGCTGGGGGCTGGAGTCACCCGAAGCCTTGTTTGCTCACATGTTTGGCCCCTGGGCTGGAAACACTCAAACCTGGAGGCTGGCCCTGCAGGGGCTCCCTGGCATTTCTGTATAAAGACTCTCAGTGTGATCCCTCCAGCAGGGCAGCCTCAGGGTGGCCGGACTTCTTAGATGCTGGCTCAGGGCTCCCAAGACATATGTTCTAAGCAAGAAAGAACCAGGAAGAAGCTGTTTTTCTTCATTGCCTAGATTTGGAAGTCAGGCAGTGTCACTTCTGCTGTACTCACAGGCTTGCCTAGGTTCAAGGGAAGGAAGCATAGACCTTGCAGTAGGCAGAATTCTAAGATAATCCCAGTTATTCAATCAAAGACAACTTAGGTGTTGCTGTGAAGGGATTTTGGAGAATTCATTAAGGTCTCTACTGTGTTGGCCTTAAGATAGGGAGGTTATCCGGTGGGCCTGACGTAATCACGTAAGCTCTTTAAAAGCAGATAGCTTTCTCTGGTTGGTTACAGAAGAGGAAGTCAGAGATTTGAAGCATGAAAAGATTTCAATATTCCATTGCCGACTTGAAGATGGAAGGGGGCATAAGGCAAGGAATGTGGCTGGCCTCTAAGGGCTGAGAGCCACCAAGGAAACGGGGACCTCAGCCCTTCAGCTGCAAAGAACTGAGTTTTTCCAAGGACGAGAAAGAGTTTGGAAGTAGATTTTCTCCCAGAGTCTCCAGGTGAGAACTCGACCTGGCCAACACCTTGGTTTCAGCCTTGTGATACCCTGCAAAGAGAATCCGGTCACACTTGCAGAACTGCAAGCTAAGAAATGGGTCCTCTTTGAAGCTGCTACATTGGCAGTAATTTGCTTGGCAGAAACAGAAAACAGAGACCCCATCTCAAGATGGAGGAGTGGCAATGTCACATTGAAGGACAGCATGTGGAATGAGATATATTGATCTTTGGAAAATATAATTTGCCACAGACTCTGGATCATTGGGGGAGGGATTAGGTAAGGGTAAACTTAGGACATTAAGCAAACACGGAAGCTCAGGAAAACCCAAGATCCTGGGATTTATAGAGATGGAAGCTGTATGGGGTCTCTGGGTCCAAGATGGCTCTAGCAAGATGCCTGAGCAGCGAGAGTTTGTGATCCTTTCTCTAGTGCTTTGCCCTTAGTGTGCAACTGGTGACAATCTTCTCTGGTTCTCTTCCTGCTACCAGCTCTCTTCCTCGCCTATCTTCTCTCTATCTCTATTTGGGGAACGCTCCATCTTGAGTCTGAGACTCCCCAAGAACTGGTTTTCCCAACTTCCCTTGCTGCTAGGGCATGGCCATGTGGCATAGCTCTGCCAATCAGGTGATCCTACAAAAGGCTTCGATTTGTATGGGAAGGAAGCATTGAGTGGAATCTAATATGGCAGGAACAGGGCTGGGGCAGAGACAGGGAGTTTATTAAGGCTACAGTAGCGGTGGTTCTGCCAGGGATATGCAGTGCCCAACATCAATGGTTCGAGCTGCAATGTCTGTGGCCAGCAGTGACAGCAGTGGTGTCTTCCTGGAGCAATCATTTAGTGTGATTTGGGCAATGTTTGCATAAACCCCAAGTCTGATTCTCTGCAAATGCTGGAAAAGATGTACTGCTTTCTCTGTAGGTGAAAGCAAACATATTCTGCTATTCTTTGCTTATTGAGATAGAGAAAAAAGAGGTTTCCATGTCAGGTGCCTAGGATTATTGTGATCCAATGTGGATCAATGTTTGCTATTAGAATAGACGTGTAATAAGTTGTAAAGTAATCCTTCCCTAACAACTGCCCATATTCTGCACAGAGAAAACGACAAGTTCATTGGGAAGTGATCAGAGTCATCAAGCCTGAATTTATCAGACCTTTCATATGGCACTAATCTCTCTCATTCTCTTAGAGATGTAGTGTTGTTGATGCTTCTCACCACAATAATCCTTACTCCATGGGTCAGGGAGCCATTTACTGTCTTCTTCTATTCCATTTCAGAGACTGGGAAAAAAAAAACACAGGCTGGGTCCAGGGTACTATTGGGCTCAGGAGAGGCAGACTTAGGTCAAAACTCCATTTGCCGAATGATCCTCTGTAATGGTCAGATTCTCAGCTGCAACCAACAGAAGCTACTCTGGCTACGTTAACAAGTAAGGGATTTATAGCTGCTCTAGATAAATCAAAGAATCATTAGGAGGGTTAGAGAAACAGGACCTAGGCTGAATTTCTAACATCTCCCCAAATGACACAGCAGAATGGGTCTGCCAAGGGAGCTGTTGCCGCTGCCAAGACTAGGAAGTTTTCAGGTCAGGATGCAGCCTTCTGAATCAACAGCCTCCCCAGCTTGGGCTTCAGGACAACACCATCTCTGCCATCCATGCCAGCAAACTAGATGCCCCAAGTGGAGCCCATACTTCACATACCTCCCTTCTAAGTCTCACATGGTGCACCTGATTGGTAGAACCTAAATCACCTGGCTTATCTTAGTGACAAAGGAAGCTGGGAAATGTAGTTTTTGGATTTACCTGGGAAAGAATAGTGATTGGAATGACAGATATAACCTACCCCCACATAAGGTTTCGGTCTAACTGGTGAACCACAGTGTTGTTCTGCATGTTCAGAGATTAGAGTTAGTTTGGAACCAGAGTCCAATAGTCCCCAAAGGTCTGGATATTTTCCTTCCCCCAGCACACAGCTACTCTTGTAAATGCCCACAGGCTCCTATGTGGAAGGTTAGGAGGTAGATGTACAGTACTTGCTTGTGATGTTATTGCAGAGCCCTTCCTCAGGGGTACCTGGACTTCCCTTTATTCAAAGTCCTCCGGGTCGAGGAGCTGATTCTGGTCTTGGAACTGGATAAGAGTCTGTCCTTCTCTATCACAAGGCTTAAGACAGGTCTCTTCCTGGCCTAAAGTTTTCTTTTTGGGGGGTGGGGTAGGAAACTATGGCAGATATGACAGACTGACTTGCTCATATCAGCTCCCACATCCTTCTAGTGAACTTTCCTATTCTCTAGAGGCAGATAATCTTTAACCCTACTTTTCCTAAACTCCCTTACAGTTACATCTAGGTGTAATTTGGGTTTTTCCAATCAGATGCACTTCTGTGGGACGTGAGTTGAGCGGAAAGAGATCTGGAGGAAGGAAGTGTTTCTTGTTGGAATAGATCTACCAGTTACTGTATGGTCCTAGGGCCACTTATTGTGGCAGACCAGGATTTCCTTTGGGGGGTGGTTCTGTGGTGTTAATCTGGGAGCCCTTCCTAGAGGCTCAATCTAGAGTCTGCTCCTCCAGGCTTCTAATGATTTTGTAAGCAGCCAATGCTCTGTATTAAATTCCTTTCTGTTAAGAAAGTGAGATTTGTTTCTGTTACTTTAAACTGAATGCTCACTGAAGCAGGATTTTGGTGGTCTGCCCTCATCTTTTGGTCATAGAGATCCATGATGAACTAATCATCATATAATACCTACAGGTCTTATCATTCTGCTTACTATTCCAGCCCTCCAGAACTGAAGGGTCCCTACTTGTCCTCTGCCACCTGGGACCCCATTTCTATAGAAATCAGGGACGCGAATTCAAATGTAGCATCTCCCATCCACAACCCCAAAGAACAACTGTTACCATGTTTTCCTGGTAGCAGAAAAAATTCAGGGTTGACGACTCTGATCACTTCCCAAACAACTGCTACACTGTGTTCCCTCTTGTCTAGGTATTTCTTAATTGCCAGAGTCTAGACAGTGTCTTCTGGGCTCTCATAGTTGGGAATTGGTTGAATGGGTTCTACATGATAACCCCACCCCGACATTTCTGTTTCCCTGGCTGGTTGCATTTCTTCTTCTTTATTCCTCTTCCTTTATTATTATTCCTTCCTTCTTTGCAAGGATTTTATGGAAACTCAAGTTTATTTTGTATAGGTCACTACCGAGTTCAGTTTCTGCCACCCAACTAAACGAATATTTTAGACCCACTCCTGGACAGTCCAGCTAGCAGCTGAACTGTGAATCTCTGGTTAATGCCTCTATATGGATGAATTTAGCCTGATCAAAAATTAGGGTCCATTCCCAAACCCAGTATTCACATTTCTGCTGATACAGATTAGTAACATCTTGAAATTCTCTTGGCGAGTAAACCTTTTTCTCTCAGCTTTCGCTTTATAATGGACCTCTTCCCTTGGGGGTCTGATTTATAATTCTGGAGACGATAAAGGGTGGTAGGGGGGAGTGTGAGGATAATTTGGAGCTTGGGGGTACTATAAGTCAATTAAACTGACTCATATATTTCTCTTCCAGTTCCGTGGGTGCCCCCCTTGCCTGGTCGATGGTCTAAATTTTACATGAGAGAATTGGCAAGACTATGATTTCAACTGATGCTGTGGTTTGGCAACTTGGAGAAGTCCCCCGCTCTCTGCAACTAGAGAACGTCCACACACAGCAACAAAGACCCATCTCAGCCAAAATTAAATAAATAAATTTATTTAAAAAAAAAAAAAGAAGATGGGTGACTTCCCACACGCGGATTCTTTCCCAGGACCTCAGATTCCCTGCCTAAGGCCCTGGCTCAGTGCTGGCCAATGGGAGGTGTGGGTAACTGAGCCGATAGTGCAGGAATGAGGGTAACAGCTGGATGGTCTCCAAGAATCCTCTTGGCTCCAGCATCTGTTACTCCAACACTCATAAGCCCCGAGTGCCTTGATCTCCCTGCGTTTCCCTCCCCTTCGAGTCTCTGCTACATGTCGAGGCTGCTGCTGGCCCTCTTGGCCTCGGGGCCCTGAGGCTCTCTCTCTGTCTCAGGCCCAAACAGGAAGATAATCAGCTCCCTTCTCTGTAACTCTTACTAGACTGAGAACCACTGGGACTGTCGGAGCGGGTTCCTGTGAAACCGAAAATAAAGTTCAAGGGGACAAGCCACCAGCATCAGCAACAAATAAAACCCAGCAGCGACAGTACGGTGTGAGGTTAAAAGATGGTGAGGAAAGGTGGGTGTGGGGACTGTGCTTCTGTGAATATCTCTAGCTGGAGTCTCTATTTTAATTGCTTCTTCAGATCATTCATTCATCTGTTGATTCATTCGACGAATATTTATTGGTGCCTTTTCTGGGTCAGGGGGTGGAAATCAATAAAACTGTGAACAAAACAGATGAGGTCTGTTTCCCCATGGGGCTGGCGGTCTAGTGCTGGAGGCAGATAAGCAGCCTGGTCATTGCCGGACGATGTGCTGTGTGTGCAGTCGGTGATGGGAGGGAACAGGGGCTGGGAAAGCACACAGGCCCCCTGACCTGACCATGGCGGCAGGGGACGCTCCCTATGACAGGTGTGGGACAGGGATGTTCTGTAACATGTCATTATTTCTCACAACGCCTGTGAGAGTTAGCTATTGTTGTTTCCATTTATAGATGAGGAAACCAGGGCTCAGAGAAGGAAGGAAGTTGCCCAAGTCACACACACCAAGGTTGTCCTGGCTCCAGATACTGCCATCCTAGTACTGTCTATGTGATCTCTAACAATTTCTAGCACTTTTTAAAAAAAACTTATTTTATTGAAGTATAGTTGACATATAATGTTAATTTCTGCTGTAGAGCAAAGTGATGCAGTGATACATATATACATTCTTTTTCATATTCTTTTCCATTATGGTTTATTCTAGCACTTTCTAAGGTCAGACATGGGCTTCTGAAGAGCAGAGAAGAGCTGTTTTGAGACAATTGTGCAAATAATTAGGCAAGCTCTGCAATGTCTGGCCTCAGTTTCCCCCATGAAGGCACTTTGTCTGAGCTTGTTGAAGGAATGAATGAATGAATGACGCTGAGGAAGGATGAGGGTTTTGGACCAGATGGTCCCTAAGAACTCCTCTGCCCCCACACTGTCTGGTTCTGACACTCATACATCTTCAGATGGCTTTGATCTTCCTGAACTTTGGGGAGTCTCTAGTCCTGGAGACTCTCGATCCATCTTTGCTGCCACCAGCACCCTCAGTCCCAGGGACTTGCCATTCTCACCTTAACTCAGGCCCGACCCAGCCAACTGTGATCCGTCTCATCTGCTCCCCTCAGCATGACTGAGACACGTGGGCCGTTATCAGAAGTACTTTCGTCAAGGGAGAGGGAAACCTCAGGAAAGTGAATCAAGAAAACACAAAACCTGTAAGAAAGAGTCAAGTTTGAGATTCAAAGGTGGGGTAGGGGTGGGGAGGAAGCTGGCTTCTCCGAGCCTCCTGCTTTTGGGGTGTCCCCAGTGGAGCCCCTGTCTACCTTTACCAAGTCATTGACGCCTTCATTCACAACATGCACTTATCCAGGGCCTGCTCTGTGCACGCTGCTGGTTACCGGGGCTACGACAGGGACCCAAGCAGACACGGGCTCTGCCCCAGAGTCTTACGGGGGGAGACCAACGAGTAACAGCGGCACAACCTAGGGTGCTGAGCTCCACTCTGGGAAGCCCGGGGCCTCTGGGGCACACAGCAGGAGTCCTAACCCAGTCTTGGGAATCAGGGAACATTCCATGGAGCCAGGGCTGGGCCGAGACCTGAAGGACCGGTTGGATTCATCCTGGTGGAAATTGATGGAGGTGTGGTGTTTATGTGCGTGTGTGTATTGCAGGAAGGCCAGTGTTCTGGGCAGGGGCAACTGTCAAGGCCTGGAGGTGACACTGAGTGGGGCCTAATGGAGGAACTGGAACCCGCTTCCTGGGGCTGGTGAGAGGGCAGGGTGCGTTGGTGGGGGCCGGGGGTGGGACAAGGGGAGGGCTTGTTCGGTGAAGGGGAGGAGACTGAACTGGATCCCGAGGGCCCCAGGTAAGCCCGTGCCCTCTCTACACTCACCTTTTCCCAGCCCTGTGTGGGGGACAAAGCCCTATTGGCCAAGAAGTGCGACCATCTTTGGTCCGGATGCAATCCTCCTAGTAGAGAATGAGTCTGGCAAGAAGACACATGGTCTCCAATCTGGTCGGAAGCTGCACTAGAGTTGGGAAGCATCATTTATCAAACTCCCAGCACTTGCTTTCTCTGAGTAAACACCATGGCTGAGTTGTATCCACAGCTTTGGCTTCAATAGCTCCCTGTGTGTGTGTGCCCATGACACTTATCACTGGTGAGGACCCTGCCCCCCAGCTTACAACTGTGCTTGAGTTGGGTCCCTTCCTCTCTCCAAAGTTATGCTCCATGGGTAACTATAAGTCTCCTTGTCGTTTTTGTCCTCCGCCTCCACCCCATCTGCATGTCCTCATCACGATTGCAGTTGCACCCCTTTTATGCTGGCCCCGTGGCAGGCCTTTACGTAAGTCATCTGCTTGACTGCCCACAACCACCCAACTTCACAGATGGGAAACTGAGGCTCAGACAGAGGACATAACGCAGCTGACTAAGGATCTGGGTTGGTCTGGCTCTCAAGCCCACCCTCATCATCTCATGCTGTCTAAAATAATCCCTGGGCACCTACTGGATACAGAGATGAACACCTCTCACGAGCAGAAAAGCTTTGGAAATTCTCTTCTTAGGAAGCAAGTAGCCACAAAGGAACAATGAGTCCCCGTCTCAGCTATTTCTTGTCTCTGGACCTCAGTTTCCCCACTAGAGATCTTCAGTGTGTGGAACAAATGGATTGACACTGAAGGGATGAGGGCACTGGGGTGGGTGGTCTCCACGGACTTCTTGAGCCAGGGAAATCCATCACTCATAATCCCTCTGGATTTTCTCTGCCCCTGGGGTCTTATATCCATCTGTCTTGTTGCTCCCCCCTCAACCTCAGGGCCACACCATCTTCTTTCTCTCAGGCCCAAACATGAACCAAACCAAGTCCCTTCTCTCTGTTCTCTTCAACATGACCTGCTGGGATTTTCCAAGGGAACTTCTGTCAGCCCTGGCAGATACCTCAGATAAATACAAAGGAAACAAAATTCAAAATCCACTGCAAATAGTATTGTTTGAGGTGCAAAAAGTATGTATGTGTGTTGGGGTGGGCTTGCTCAAAGCATCCTCTCTATAATAGTTCCTAACAGAAGCCCCTTCCTAGATTCTTTGAGGCTCTCAATTTTCCAATGTATTTTCCCGGGGGTGCCAATAAATATAAAACACAACCCCCCAACCAAAACTCTTGAGATCAAATCCAGTGGGAAACATGGAAGTAAACAAGTCGAACAGTTTTCTGTATTTGCAGGACTTTTTAAAGCCTTTGTTTTCTTAAAGTGCTTTGTGTGTTTCCAAGAGGAAGTAACAGTACCCAGAATTCCCTCAACAATTTGCTGAAGAGCTGGTGCTCTCTGAAGGATGCTGATGGGGTGAGTGGGGTCCCCCAACCCACCTTCCTTAGCTGGTCAGAGAACTTCTAGAAGGGGCCCCCACTGAAGATGGACACAGGTCATCTCAGAGTTTCTGAGAAACTCCAGCCCCAGGGCACATGGGACAAGGGAAAACAGAGTGGTGGCCCTACCTCAGTGTGTAGAAGTGGAGCGTGGGGAATGGTAGAAGGATTCCTTGCCTCCACCACCACCTCCCAGCATATCTCTCCTCTCAGCAACTATCAAGGCACAACCTTGTCCTTGTCCCAACGGATGTCTGTGTCAGTTCATCACGCATTGTTTTCGCCATCACGTACATTAAGCCCCTGAGCTGGGGACCTTCTCTCTTGCAACGTGTGCTACAAGAACCATATTACAACTACCACTACTAATAAAAAGAAAACAAAGTAAATGACGCCCATTGGTCGAGTTTCAGCTAGGTCCCAGCACTGTCCCAGGCAGGTTAGATATGCTGTTTCATGAATTCTCACAACCACGATTTGAGGAAGGTCTTGCTGTCTCTAGATCCTGAGTCTCAGAGGTTCACCAACTCGCCCTAGGTCACTTAACATATAAGTGACCAGGTTTGGCATGGCTCCAAAGTGGCAGAGAAGACTTCCCATCAATTCTCCGATGACAGGGGTTCAGATAGGTGAGAACCCAAGCTGTGCTGACTTCTGAACCAGCCCCTTCTCCTCTGTGGAGGGGCTGAGGTCTATGCTTGTTGAACACATGTTGAAGTGTAACTGATGAAAGAACAGTGGCAGCATAACAGTGCTGTTATGAACATAGGGATGTGTGTATCTTTTCAAATTAGAGTTTTGTCTGGATATATGCCCAGGAGTGGAATTGCTGGCTCATATGGCAACTCTAGTTTTAGTTTTTTGAGGAACCTCCATACAGTTCTACCTAGCGGCTGCACCAATTTACATTCCCTACAGCAGTGTAGGAGGGTTAGGCTGAGGAATCTTCTAATGTCACATCTCTAGAGTGATCTCAAGGGTTGCTCTGAGGCTGCTATGAGCCCCTTGCCCATACCCACATTTCCTATCTGTGCAGGGCAACTGCTGGGGATGGGGGGAACTTGGGGGTGGGTCCCCCAGTTCAAATACTGACCCCACCTCCAGAGGGTTTCCTCCTACCAGGTGGTTTTGGGAAGAAATCAAAGTTCAGAGAGGGTCATTGACTTGTCTAAGTACCACCAGCTAGTTGGGGACTCCCTACCCTCCTGGATTTGAGCCCACGTACACGGGATTCCATGGATGACTGGATTTCCTTTTGGCATCTTGTCTTAGCCCCTTGCAAGGGATTTAGGGGTGTTTCTAGGTCTCACTGGATATATGCTCCTAGCTTGCCCAGCTTTCTGTAGCTGCATCTCCTAACGGTCCCACTAAGCTCCACCCCCAACAGAACTATGAATTGAGGGGACTGTCCTATTCTGGGAAGGTTGTAAACATTTGGGTTACATTATGATTCCAGCAGGGATGGTACTGGGAGGAGGGAGGCTGGGCTGACTGCCCTCGAGGTCGTGGCAGGGCGTGGCGCGGCCAGGTAGTTCAGCTGGGAAGGTGTGGCCAGTTTCTATGCGCTCCAGTTTCTTTCACAGCTGTGGCTGCAGCGGCCCCTTGTGGCCATTTTGCGCTGGAGGCAACTAAATGTCAGACAAACTACAAATTTAGAATTGGGAGGGGAGGTACGTTTCCTTAGATGGCCTCCTCCACTCCTCTGTTGCCCAGAGAGGGAAAGACACATGCCCAGGGTCCCACAGCTAGAATCTGGGCCTTTGGACTTCCAGCCCTTCTGGGGCTCTTTCTTTTGTACCACTCTCAGCTCAGGGCCCGTTTGCTCTCCATAGGGAGGCCAAGGAGTAGACTAGAGTGTAGGGCCTGCCCTTGCCCAGACAGACCTCTCTGACCCTTTCTCTCTTCTCAGAATTGAGCACCGTCAGAGATGCAGAAAGGGGAGGGCCGCCTCCCGTGGCAGGGCGGCGAGTCCCCATGAGGCCTCCAGGGGGCGCTGTGGCACCGAGTTGGCCTGGTCCTGGGCGCCCGCTGCACAGGCGTAATGAGCTCAGCACGCTGAGGACAAAAGGGAGCTGCACGCGGCCGGGGAGCTCGTAAAGTCAGCCCGGTGGCCCGCGTCTTGCTCTTTCTGAAGCCGTGGCTGGCTCGGGGGCGGACACCACCGCCTCCTTCCGTGGCCCAGATGCCAGCCTCTGATCCGCCTTGCAATTCCCTCTTCTCTCAGAGCCCAGACTCCATCCAGTGCTTTGGACTCGACACCAGCGCCCTTTCCTCCTTACTGTTGACTTCTCTGAGTTTGGCTCAGGGTAAACGGGAAAGCTGCCGTGGCTGGAGGCAGAGGGCTTTGGACTCTGTGCCTCAGTGTCATCTGTAAAATGGGTGGTGGTGATCTCCCTTGGAAAGTTGTACAGAATGGATGTAACGCGTTACGTCCGGGCGCCTGGTCTAGGGTAGCTAGTGTTGGAAATGGGGGGGGCGCCAGGTCTGGGCTGGGACGTCCGAGGCCTGCTGTTTCTCCGTGAGGCAGGGGCGAGCTTCCCTGGATTCTGGGGGTGCAGAGCGTGGGGCAGCATTGCTCAGGCTGTTGGAACCAGTGTGGAGATGGGACTGACAGGGGCCAGGGCTGGGGGGGTCAGGGACAGGGCAGGGTGTGAGGGATGTGGGGTGAGTCACTTAGTAGCCCAGACCCTGGGGAGTGAAGGGGAAGGAGTACGGCAGCTGGCCAGGCCTGGTGGCACCAGGCACCGCGCCAGCCCCACCCCACCAGCTCCTGCCCTGCCCACGTGCCCCAGGAGCAGGGATGTGGCTGGGATCTGTCAAGGTGTGGGCAGTGGGGTCCAGAGAACCTGATGGGGGTGAGGGCCAGGCTGCTTTGCCCCACCTGCTGCCCACTCCCTCCTGCTCTCCCCCCTTGCTAAGGCTTTTCTCCCTGCCTGCATGGCTGGGGGTGGAGAAGAATGCTCCGTGGGCCTCTCCCAGCCCTGGTGGAGTCACCATCTAAGACAGAACAGACAGAGGCGGTGTCTACATGGGCAGCAGGCCCCTTGCAGCTGACTGCCACACCTGCATGTGTCAGGGTGCCCGCAGGATACAATGACTCTCGGGGTCAGCTGAAAGGACTTTAGAGAAAGGACTGTTTTTGGAGGTCTGGACAGGAGCAGGGATGGGGTAGCAACGGGTTGGGGGTGGGGTGGGGCGGGGAGCATGGGAGCTGAAGGGACAGTGGAGGAGGGAGCAGTGTGATGGGAGCTGGTGGGGGCTGAGGCCAGGAGGGCTGCTCTGCAGAAGCAGCTGCCCTGGGGGGGGAAGTATAGGCCCTACGTCTTTCTTCCCTCCTGTCCATCTCCTGCAGCTGTCCCCCATTGGCTGATCCAACGGGGGCAGCCAGAGATTAGCTGTCAGGGCACGGAGTAGGGCCAAGAAGGGTGGAGAATACATCTGGAAGGATGCAGAAGAATTATCAGGGTGGTGGGGACACAAACCCAAATAGCCAGACCTTGCCCTCAAGGAGCTCACCGTCTAGTAGAGGAGATAAGAGCCAACTAACTCTCACCAGGTGGGGAGAGGATAGCCGAAGGAGAGGGTCAGATAAAGCACCAGATGGGCTAGAGGAGGGAAGGAGTTGGGGTGGACAGGGTGCCAGGGTCGCAGAGGCTTGAAGGAGGAAGTGGTGTATTGGTTTCCTATTTCTGCTCAAAAAAGTTACCTCAAACTTAGTGTCTTAAAACAACACAATCTTAGTATCTTATAATTCTAACGGTCCGAAGTCTGAAATGGGTCTTCTGGGCTAAAATCAAGGTGTCAGCAGAACCGCGTTCCTTCTGGAGGTTTTAGGGGAGAATCTGTTTCCTTGCCTTTTCCAGCTTTTAG